CAACGATTTAAGTGGAAAACTGATACACCGGCAATTCTCGTTGCATCAGCAAGATCATGCTCTCAGCGGCAACGGCGGCGCGACGTGCGACGAGATAAATTGACGATATTAATTCTAAGGTTGTCCAGATGCATCAGGATGGAGCTGTTTCACGGGTATGTGTGCGTGTCGAAGTCATACACAGTAGGCCGTTATCTGTTTTTTTGTCTGTATGTGATTATTACAGGTTATTGTAAACCAGTTAAAAGATGCGGGTGTCCTTATCAGTGCCGAGGATGTCCACAATATCGTTTAGATAGAAAAGATAAAGGAACTTGGTGGAAAATTACATACGTAAGCTTTGCTGTAGCACCTGAAGGACCATCATCTTTTATCTACGGTTGTAGTGTTAAACCGCGGGTGCATTTTTGATTACCATATTATGTTATTTAATTGAATTAGCGTGGCCTGGGACCATTACAGGTGCAGATCTGATCAGCTTATCCTGCAATATTCGAAGTGACGTGGCCTGAATGGGATACAACGGTTGCCATATAAATATTAAGTCTAATGGATAGGCGGTGGTGTATTTAGCAATAATGATGGGTGTATTTAGCCTCTCCCTTCGACCTGTATCCATAGAAATTTTTCAAACAAATTTTCCGTCTACCGCTTTTAGCCCCTCAGCTATTTCTCCACGAATTAAAAAAAATGTTTTAAAATCACGTTGATTTAAAAAATCTTTTGCCCAGATTTTTTTGGAAATTTGGTAGATTTAAAATTATTATTCGATAATTTTTAGGAACAGGTCGACGTATCTGCGTGTAGGTACCGTAATACCTGTACGAAAGTTTCGCAAATATGCATAGCATTATATATAAGAATTATTAGAATTGACAGTATCATCGGTGCTGTGGGCACGATGTGATATGCTTAGGCGGCTGATCGACTGATTTTGTTCAGCTTCCCCGTCTGCCTTTTTGCTGGGCTAGTGCTGTACAAGGTTGACATGTCTCCTCAATCGTGCGTGAACGCAAAACTTGGAAGCATATTATCTACTTGCATAGTGGCGACATAATTATCTGATGCAGACAGGCGACAAATAGCATCCACATATTGACTACAGCAACAATTATCGGTTTATGTAAGTAACGGAGCTTGCCTTGTGTCAATTCGACACGAGGTTGTGTGCACCCGACGTCACGTACGCGCGGCGTGAGGAAAGGCAGCGGAGAAGGTAGAACTCGAAAGCTCTGTCAACGGTAAAAAGTAGAACTGTATTTAATATAGTTATCTTTCTTACTAAACCATCTTTTGTCTTGAGCTAACTTTATTAAACTACAATCTCCTATGTAGGCTTCTTGCTCATTACCCATTGTGCGCGTCCAGCAGCGATGAATGGATAATCTGGTCGATGTAATGTGAACATCAACTATCAGGTGGGGCAACTCATAAAGAAATATTACCCTCGAGGGTAATATTCCTTCAACCTTACTCCTTACGAGTAATTTCAATTGAACATTATCGAAATAGGTAATGCTCAAAAAATGATACAAAGATATCAATTTCTATGTAACGGGCTCATCCCGTTACAGTTCAAGTGCTTACAGTATCGGATCCGAGCGACAAGAACAATCAATCGGTCACCGTTCGGTGTAATGTTCGGTTACACTCATTCGGGCATGGACCTCCGGGTGTCGTAACTTCCTGACTATCGCTAAGGAAGGCCACAAAGTATGCTGCTAAGAACTGGGAGCTAGTGATTTCGGACAAAATCTACCGGCAGTTGATACGTGTGTTACGCATCTAAATATTATGAAAACTAGATGTTATTTAGAACCAGAACTTAACTCGAGCACAAAACACTTTGCTCTTTCTTTCCGATTTACCTTGCCCTTGTTTAAGGATGACCACGATACGACTTGCTGTCTGTGTGCTGGCGGGAGATGAAGCGATGGGTAAATGTGCTCAATATTGAGATTAGGCTTCGAGTGCGTGACGGGGTAGAGTTTGTCAAGTGCGGACATATCTGCCCGTAGCAAGGAGGTCCACTGCATTTTCACCAAGCCTATTTAACGCTTGCGTGATGTGAAATTGATGCGATTGAGGATTTGGCGAGAGTACACGTGTCAAAATATTCGACGCACCATCTAGATCGTGTTCTGTCACGGTGCCTCTTACATCCAGCCGCCAAGTAACTGCGGAATACATGTATATGTAGAAGAAGTCGATCGCGCTGCGGTAAATAAAATCTGTCCTGCTTCTTGCTCCTGTGCTATCCGTCTAGATTATCTAACGCGCTTACGAACCTTGCTCGCGATCGCTCCTGTCCACTCAAACTGATATATGTCGTTTGGTATATCGCAATAGGCTGCCCGACCAACTATCCTTCAACCATAAGTCGTCAGTCATTCCTCCGACCGTTTTCACACGCCCTTTCAGGCGCATTCGCTCCTTCCGTAATGTCGGTTTCTAACCGGTTGTGTCTGATAGACTGCTGTTTGCGCCACTGTTTGGAGCTGTCGTACCCGGTTCATTACTGACCTTGTTGTTTCCGGTTGCTTAGCGAATTGTGGACGAAAAACATCGGGTGTAAATGGTGTTTGAAGGGAAATAGATAGTAATTTGCGAGCACAGTAAAGCGCACAAGTACTACCGTCGAGTATCACTTTCGTTGCAGTGCAGGCAACTGTGTTCTATGTACATCTCAATTGACCACGGCTACCGATTGAATGACTGCTTCAGACCTCAGCTTTAAGACGCTTGATAGATAATCATGTCGAAGGAACATGGCTGAAAATGTATATTGAGTAAGCCAGTCTGCTGCATTCCACTTTCGTTTAGCGTCTACGTTAAGAAGATCGTGTCGTGTTTATCTTTCATCGACGCCAATACAACCGGGAGAGTGGAGCTTTCTTAAACTTGGACGATCGCAAACTGCTCCATAATCGGCGGGTAGGTATTCGTCAGCCTACAATAAAGCTATAACCTTCTATGAATTTTACTCAACTCAAGCTAGGTTGAAGTACGGCTCGAGGCTATCGTCAAGACTCGGTATTCATATAAAATGCTAAGCTGTGCTACAATAGGAACCCGATTACTTTGGGCATTAGCGTTGTTGATTTCGTCTCAGGTTGAGAAGAAATCAACAACGCTTATGCTCAACGTTCAGGGCAATTTTTACCAGAAATGTTCTCCCGCGAAAACAACGCTTACGACAACTGTTGATGAAAAGTAGGTATGACGGAATGCTAAAAGAAGCGGCTCAAACTCTTTAATATATATGGATATTCGACGTTAAGATCTGCCACTCCGTTTTTTCTCAAGGCGAGTACTTTTTACCTTCTTCTCTTGGAATTTCCTTTCTCTCGCAGAATTTTATCAACAGAGGGTACCGTTTTTTTATGCTTCGCACAATCATGCTCTCGCCACGCAGAAGGATACGCACATTTGCACCGAGGGTCGCCCTTGCTGCACACCACTGGCTTTGCCTGTTTACCCTCATATGCGTTTTTCATTGTAGTCAAGCGTTAATAGTTACATTCCATACTTTGTGTACCAGGAACAAAGGGCCATCGCTGGCTATGTCACGTTGTCATTCATCAATTTCAGCACTGCGCTGCACTAAAATATATGGCAAAAATAGATAGCATAAAACGAGTGCATTTACCCTGATGCATTGAGCACTGTGATCCATGGAGCAACACAAGCGTTTTTTTTGCTAGCAACAGCTTCGACCAGCAGTTGCTGTAACGAATGTCCGATTCTCTACATCGCGCAATTTACAAAATACGCGATCCAGAGAAACTTTTGAGCATATGTTTACGTCTACAAAAACGGGACGTCGTATGTTGCGTACACGGCTCCATTCGTTATCAGAAGTCGCTAGGGAGACACCTTCAAACGTTTGTGCATAAGTGGTGACCGACAAGCTTGGTGTATCAATGTTGTGATGTCGAACCACAAATACCTTTGTTCATCAGCATTCGGTGATTTGCCTCGAATTATCCTCTGACAACCTCGAAGCCTTGTTACCGTTTCCTAAATTCTCGTCGATTTGTGTCACAACTACGCGTCTTACGCGTGGCACATGTCAAGCCCATCAGACGTGCGATACGACGGTGGTTGCCTTACACGTTATGGAGCCTTTCAGGGCTCTTGTCGCGTCAGTTGAAAGTTGGCTGTAATCGTCTTGTTGACACGGACTAGACTATATATACCTTCACAGGCAACGCTAATATCCTGTACTTTCGTGCTGTGTTTTTCTTTCTTACGTTCTTATCGAGGTTCCAGCCGTTGATGCTATCGTGAGCAATTGTTTTACTCAAAGCCGTGCCCTCCAAGTTTGGATCGACTTCAACGTATGCCCAATGCAGGCCACGTATTTGGTGACGCCAAATATTTTGTGGTTCTTGCGGTTGATCCGCATGTACTTTCTGCAAATCTTGCAGCTCTGTTTGCGGCAGATGCTGGGCAATCGAAGTTCATCAATGAGGTGTAGCTGACGCATTGTTTTCCTTTGCTACCTTACTCGCGGTGGCGCAGCGGTTATTGCGTATCTTTTTAGCTTTTGGAGACAGGGGACACTTGACCCTCGAATGCGATACGTAGGACCGTCAAGCTGCTGAACAAAGGGGCCTCACTTTGCCCAGTTTGCGTTTCTGCTTGCCCTGGGCGGCCCATCCCCGTCAACTGCAGGTAATGTGACGTGGGCAACCGCCGAGGCGACCGGCTCTGAGCAAGCGGGCAAAATGACACACTCACATGCTGAACGTGTACGAGATCGAGGATTCAGGTACCACACAGGTGCTGCTCAAATTGACGTGCGAGTCGTGCAAAAGCTGAGGACACCTTCTAGTTGGCGCGAACTCAACAGACACAAACGCAAAGATTTGTAGCAGACACAGCACGATGTATTGAATAGGATTTGGTACCCGCACGCATTCGTTCTTCTCCACCCTTCTCCCTCAACTGCACCAAACGGTTCTTCATGCGAGCTCGCTCCAATCCCTTTGGCTTGCCTAGCTGTATAGATCCTCCTCATCTTCTTCGCCAGCAGCCACGGCGGCACCACCGCCAGTGCTCGCACTGACATTGCGACCAGGAAACGAAAAGTTGGCCAGTGAAGTTCCGCCCGCAGTCACATGCGAGCGCGCCTGTTGCAGCGTCTGTGCAAAAGTCGAGTACTGCGCCAAGTCGCGGTCGCTGACCGAGCGACGCGCGTTGCGCACGGCGTCCTCAAAGTGGCGCGGCGTAATTTCGGGCACTGGGTCCTCCTCTTCAATATCTTCCATTTCGTCACCAGCCTCGGCGCGGAGACGGTCGCGTTCCATGTCACGTGCAATGCTCTCGCGAATCGCCAACTTGGCAGCACGCTGGCAGATCTCGGTGAGGTCGGCACCCGAGAACTTGTCTGTTTGCTGGGCAAGGAAGTTGAGATCCACATCCTTGGACACAGGGCTCTTGCGTAGCACAGACCGCAGAATGCTCAAACGCGAATCAAAGTCAGGCATGGGAATGAAGATCAGCTGGTCCAGACGACCCGGACGCATGAGAGCTGGATCAATGATATCAGGACGATTCGTGGCACCAATAATAAAGACGTTCTTCTTCGCACCCATACCATCCATCTCCGTCAACAGTTGGTTCATCACACGGTCGCCAGCACCGCCAGCATCGCCGGAACTACTGCCACGCTGCTGAGCGATAGAATCCAGTTCGTCGAAAAATAATACGCACGGAGCGGCACCTCGGGCCTTGTCAAATACCTCACGTACGTTGGCCTCGGATTCACCGAACCACATGGTCAAAAGCTCGGGACCCTTGATTGAGATAAAGTTAGCCTGGCATTCGTTTGCCACGGCCTTGGCCAGTAGCGTTTTTCCGCACCCTGGTGGACCGTAAAATAGAACGCCCTTAGACGGACTCAGACCATACTTTTCAAACTTTTCCGGGTGCTCTACCGGATACTGCACCAGCTCCAGTAGCTCCCGCTTGACGCCCTCAAGGCCACCAATATCCTTCCACGTAACTGTCGGTACCTCCACTGTCGTCTCGCGCAGCGAGGACGGATTCGAGACACCAAGAGCATACTTAAAGTGAGCCTGTGTAACCGACATGGCATCAAGGATTTCAGCGTCAATGGTCTCATCCTCAATGTCAATCACGTCCATCTTTTCGCGGATACACTGTAGCGCAGCTTCTGTACACAACGCAGCCATATCAGCACCGACAAAACCCTGAGTGTCACGAGCAATGAGCTCCGGGTCCACGTCGTCGTCCAGCTTCATGTTGCGCGTATGAATGCGGAAAATCTCGAGACGGCCGTTCTCGTCCGGCACACCAATGTCGATCTCACGGTCAAACCGGCCGAAACGACGTAGAGCAGGATCCATACTGTTCGGCCGGTTTGTCGCGCCAATCACCACAACGCTCGCACGCTGCTTGAGACCATCCATCAGCGTGAGCAACTGCGACACAATCCGGCGCTCCACTTCCCCGTTGGTCTTTTCACGCTTGGGCGCAATCGAGTCGATCTCGTCAATGAAAATGATCGCCGGAGCGTTCTTTTCAGCCTCTTCGAACGCTTTTCGCAGGTTGCTCTCCGACTCGCCCGCCATTTTCGACATGATCTCGGGGCCATTGATCAGGAAGAAAAAAGCGCCCGTCTCGTTCGCTACGGCCCGAGCAATCAGCGTCTTGCCCGACCCAGGAGGGCCATAGAGCAAGACTCCGCGAGGGGGTTTCACCCCAAGCGTCTTAAACAGCTGCGGATGACGCAGCGGCAGCTCAATCATTTCCCGAATCTGCGCCATTTGGCGACGACAGCCGCCAATGTCGTCGTACCCGACTTCGTCCATCTTCTCTTCGTCTTCGCGTCGAACGGGTTCGCCTTCGCAGTGGATGATCGTGTCCGGGGCAACAATGCAATAGGGCCCTGGCTCGGTCTCGACTACCTTGAACTCCACGGGGTGCATGGCCTGGCGGACCAGAAACAGGTCGCCTTTTTTCACGGGGCGATAGGCTTCGACAAAGTAGGGCTTGAGGTACACGTCAAACAAGTTGCCCGTCACACCCTCGATCGTGTCGTCAATGGGCAGCACGTGGATGCGCTTGCCGTAGGGCACGTCGCCACATGTGTGGATGCCCACGACGTCGCCCAGCCGCACGCGCAAGTTCTTGCGCACGACTTTGTTCATGCGGACGTTGTGGTCGTCTACTGTGTCGTCCTGGAGCACGACACAGACCGTCTCGTGGCCCTTTTTCCCCTTGAGCAGCACCGTGTCGCCCCGAAAGAGCTCAAGCTCTTCCATCTTGGCCATGCTCAGCGCCACGACCGAGTTGTCGTCGTTCAGGGCCTCGTCCACAACCAGGCGGTTGGGCGACCGTTTGCGGTCCATGATCCCGGCTTTAAACTCTTGTGGCTTGTCCCCCATCGCGCGTGTGTGGCGGGTGCAATTCTGCTGCTGCTGCTTCTTGTTGTGTCCTGACTTGGCGCAGAGTATCCAGCACTCCACCTACGGAAGCAAACACCGGGAGCTACAGCCCCAACAAGCAAGCGAGAACAAGCACACAGTGGGCAGTAAGTACGATTGCGGTCGATCGGCAGATAGAAACGGGCCGAGAACGGCAACGGCAGGCGCTAACGTGCTCCGAGCCGCGTGTCGGTCGCTAGTAACTAGTGGTGTCTTGCGATGGACTCGTGTCCCGCCTGCCGTACCACAGCGGACACGAGCGGCTAATACGACACGAGGGACCACCGGACCGGCCACGACGTCGAGTCGACAACGTACTACTTACGATGGGCTCTTGTGGTTGCGGCGGAGATTTCGCGGAAATGAGTCGCTGCAGTGGATCTGTCGGTCGTCGGTCTCGATCTCTATGCTTTGCTCGCGTCCCTCCCTCTCTCTCTCTCTCTCTCTATCTATCTATCTATCTATCTATCGTTCCCCCTCCCCCCCCCCCTCCCCCCCACTCTCCGCCACGTCGCGAAGATATCAAGCATGGAGAACGCCGTTTTGACCAATCAGCCGACGACTCGAGCAATCTTGTCGGCTACGGCGCAAGGAGTGGCTAAAAGTCGAGAACCTTCGAGCGCGGCGAGGACGGTGACGTGGCGGCTCGGCCCGTCGTCCAATGGCCGACCCCAAAAACCCGACTGACTGACCAAGCGAACGCAATCATGAAACACGTGCTTTTGTTATCATGCAATTGACGGCCAGAGCGAGGCCCCTCCCTCCCTTCCTACTGGCGACGGCCGTGGTGCGGCTTACCGTCTTTTCTCTTGTTCAACAGCGCCACGAGGATGCGGACGAAAATCGACACCAAATCTGCATGCAGCACACGAACCCGTTGGTTAGCACAGTGTCGGCCGTCGATGCAGTTCACCACAGGTCGAGGCGGTGTAGCATAACGTCCTGTACCCATAAAGAGGTCGAGCGTGTGCTTGAGCACATCCTTGTCCCCCCTGCTGGCCTTCTCAATGATCATCTGCGTGTCCAAGACCACGTAGCCGCAAAACAGCAACAGGCCGCCATACTACCGCAGTCACGTGCCACACACGAACACACAGTCACAGCCACAAGCACTTAGACCACCGCCCTGTCGCCCCACACACGTCACCAGCTGTTTGCGTCTTCGAGCCAGCGAGACGTACCAAGTTCAGGTTCAGCAAAAGCGACGAGTGCGCCACGAGGTTCAGTACGCTCGTGAGAAACAGCATCGACAGCGCCGAGCTCAGGATCCCACCCAAGTACAAGTACGAGCGGCGCGTAGCTGTCCCAATGGACATCAACACCCCATACACCACGTTCCGTGAGTGACCTCCAAGACACTGTCAGCTCCTCAGACACTGCTGCCGAACGCACCGATGAGGGCACTTGCGGTAAAACACGTGAACACCAGCGCCGTCACCAGTCTGCAACAGCCACATACACACATACACAGATATACCCATAAACAACAACGCATCAGTCTCGAGTTTAAAACACCGCGTTTATCGACCAGCGCTACGGCCGTCGCACGCAGTCGCCCGTACAAGGCAAAGACGAGGGTGCTGGCGTCCACTCGGAGCGCGACTGCCACGAGCGTGGACACCGAGAGGCCCATCGCAGCTGAGATCGCCATGAGGATCCCGAACCGGCGCCTGAAGTTCTGCACCGGTTCTGTGTAGAGCCACATGGAGCCCAGGGAGGCCACGAGCGACGAGCTCAGCAGCGACCAGCGCTCGGGACCGAACGTCACCATACAGGCGGCGCTGAGCATGGCCGACAGCACGCAGGCAGCCAGCGTCGCGTACACGCGGATGAGGTGCTGCCGCACGTCTTCGGTGATGCCGCTCGTCTTGAGCATCGTCGCCATGTTCCAGTGCGTGGACGTCGTGGGACGGGCGAACATGTTTGTCGTTGTTTTGTTCGACTGCGTGTGTGTGTGTGGTGTTTGGTTGGGGGTATAAAACTGGGCCACAACAACTCTGATTCTTTGATGGTGATTTTCTTCTCGGGATTTCAGGAGAGCGACGGATCGTTGGGCTGTATGAAACGCTCTTTGGCCCAAACGGATTGATGCATTGATCAGTGAGAGCTAATGATCCGCAACGCGCCGTCACTTTCGATTTAGTCCGTGCCCATTTGTCGGCAGCGAGAGATGGTAGTAAATTTGGTAGCAGCTACTAAATTGTCGTTACGAAGCAGAGTGCAGCTGTATTGCTATCGAGATGAGGTTTAAGGCGTAGTTGGGAAGGGTATGCCGTTTCTCGGCGAAGTTATTTTTGGCTTCTTTTTCTTTTCGTACACTTGTCAGCGCACAAATCGCATGCTCGCTTTTGATGACTGGCTCTGGACTTTTTTGTCGTACTTAGCGTGCTTCACGCTATCTCCTCAGTCTTCCTAATTTAGAAAACGATCTCGTGGTTTAGCGCACGATGCAGTGTACTGAATTAACAGCCTCTACTGTCCACAGAAGCTCACCAGCTCAACGTTTTCAGGCCAACCGTGCGATCAGATACGCCTTTGCCCTGCACAAGATCGAATGTTCCGACGAGATTGTCCAGAACGAACCGAATGTGAGGCCACGAAGCCCACTGCAAGCGAGGTGCCACGCACCCAATAAAGCGAAATTCCTACTCGTTACGGTATTGGCCTCCACCAGCCCTTCGAAAAAGGTGGCGTCGACTTGCACGGCTTCTTGTCGGTGTATACCCACCCCGTACACACCTAAATATACAGATTACACACGCACACACATAGACCGACGTTCGAGTTTCTTATGCTGCTTCGGCACCCCCACCTCCACCCCACCTCATCGAACAATAATTGTCCACGAGCCCCTCCATCGCTGCTGAACGGCGCACACGAGAGAGCTCTGCACAGCTGTCGTCCCGCCCACGTCCACTCGTCCCGCAGCAGTCGCATGTCGGAGCTCTACGCACACACTGTCTGTCTCTCGCCCATGGTCCGCTCTGTACGTCCCCCCGTCTGCTGCTGTCGCGGGGGTCAACGGCCTCTTGTTCACACCGGTCGCCAGCGTTCTCCGCTCTGCGGCTGTAAGGAGCTCAGTTGTCACGTCGTTTGGACAGGGGACTCTCCCGCTGCGGCTCTTGTCGCTGCGGTACGGCGCGGACCTGGTCTACGGCGAAGAAATCATCGACAAGCGCATCATTTCGACGGTGCGGGTGCCGAATGGTGCGACGCTCGGGTGCTGCTGCCAGTGCTGCTGCACTAGTGCTATCGATGCGGCAGCTTTGTCACATTGTGATTGTGTGTGTGTATGTTTGTTTGTGTGTTTGTAGCGGTGGTGCATTCCGTCGACTTTGTCAGTCGTAACGGCGACGCGGTCGTCTTTCGCACGTGTCGCGAGGAAGCGGACAAGGTGATTTTCCAGATTGGAACAGCGGATGCCGTGCTGGCGCTCAAGGCGGCCGAAACAGTGTGCGTGCGTTGGTGGCAGAAATGTCGCTGTATCATGTGTGAAAAACAGTGTCTGCTGGACGGTCGTTGTGGTGGTGTGTTGATCGTCTGATCGAGTGCTCTTTGTTCGGATCGTCGTGTGTATGTGTGTGCATTTCTTTTCCTTGCAGTGCGCGAGACGTAGCGGCCGTGGACATTAATATGGGCTGCCCGAAACACTTTTCCATCCAAGGCGGTATGGGCGCAGCGTTGTTGCAGAAACCGGAAGTAGCGTGCGATGTACGAGCTGTTGGTTTACTGGGCTACGATGTGTCGTGTCATTGTGGCCTGAACGATCGATGACCGTGTGTCTGCAGATCGTTCGGACTCTGCGCCGTAACCTGAACATTCCGATTTCTTGCAAAATTCGGCTACTGCCAGACACGAGAGACACAGTATGCACTTGGCTTCTTTCTCTGCGTGCTTTCATGTAGAGGGATGTTCTCACCTGTTTCTGATAGATCGATACTGCAAAACGCCTTGAAGACGCTGGAGCCTGTGCGATTGGCGTGCACATGCGGCAAGTTCATGAACGTCCTCGCGATAAGGCGAGTTGGGAAAAGCTAGCACCTGTCGTGTCGGCATTGTCGGTACCTATACTAGCGAACGGCGACGTATTCAAGCATGAAGACATTCACGATCTTTGCGAAATCTCGGGGGCGTCTTCCGTCCTCATTGCTCGCGGCGCCCTCGCCAATGCATCCATTTTCCGGAAAAAGGGACTCCTGTCTGTGGACCAAGTCGTACGAGACTATCTTCGAGCTGCGGCGGAGGTCGACAATGTGTTTCAGAACACGAAGTACAACGTTATGCGCATGATCCCGAGTTTCTCCGAGGACGCGTCCGCAAGTGGTACTCAGTGTGGACAGTCGACGGGTACCCGTGTCGTTACTGTGCCTGAGCTGGCTGCAACAAAGAATGGTATGGAGATGTATTCGCTGTGGAACTTGCAAAACACCTACAAAGAGCATCAGGACCGATTCCGAGCCATGGCTTCAGTGCTAGACAGTAACGCAACATGTCAGGGGCAGGCCTCCGAAGTAGTCAGGAGTCTGCCTGGTGCGCCTGAGCGGTACGCAGAGGCGCTTCAACCAGAGGACAGCGAGTTGTCAAGCCATCGCAATAGATTTCCTGGAAAGCCAGAGCTTTACTGCGATGCATGCAAAATCCAATTGCTAAGTGCACAGGACGTGAAGCTGCATTGCAAGGGTCGAAAGCACAAGAACACGCTGCGTCGACAAACTGCTACCACGATTTCCAGGCTCGTAGCAAAAGCCCACCTGGAGCAGCAGGTTGCAGCAGCTGACATTCCGGACGACGTAGGTGTCGGAAGTGTCGCGAGTGGAGATACAGTGCTGGATCAAGGGGATCAGGAAAACCGGAGTTTGAAACGCGCAAGGCGTTAGAAAGCGGCTGTGAGGAGGGGCCAACTGACAACGGGGCTGACCGGAACGAGAGAAACGATTTGGACCACCTATGGTTTGTAAATCTTTTTGTCATAGCCCGATGCAATGAAAAAATCGTGTTGTGCCGCGTAGAGCTTTTCTCTGTAGGCAACGAGAAACAGCATTTTTGTGCGCACACTTACAACAGCTTCCGTCTTTATCTCAACTTCGTACGGTACGAACGTACCTCTGCTTTTTGTCCCTGAATAACGACGTCCCCGCCCCTAGATCGACCCTACTCTCGGTAGCAGCGCGCAACATTGTAGAACTTCTGCATCGCCTGACTGGTTCGAATTTGCCACGAATATGCCTTCGTAATAGCCCTGCAACATGTGGCGGAACGTTTTCGTTGACCCAGCAGCAACAACGACCGAAAGCAAAGCCGGCTGAAGATGACACATAAATACGTATTGCTTTACTTGGAGTTCCGCATGACAGCATGCATACCTGTTTGATCCGCAAGACTAAACAGTAAACGCGAATCGTAAACCTATCACCACCCTGCAGCATACAACCTCTAGGACGTTGACATCGTAGACAACTACTATATCATTACATTTCGGCTTGCTCATTTACATGTAATAATGTCACGGTCCAGTGGCGAAGAAAAAGGCGTTGACATTTGTGAGTTGAGAAGTTCTAGTCCGTCTGTGCGACAAAATAGTTGTCAAATGCGAATATGCAAAAGCGTCATGAAGCAGAATCTGTTGGAATTATTTCAGTATGCTAACAGCGTGAGACACGCGCAACCGCGTATCTGGTGACACCGAATCGTCTTTCCCGGTCGACATTGTTGTGGAACCCACAATTTCTCCACCGCGAGCTTTTGCTCGGCAAGCTGCCAGTTAATAGTGATTTACGGCAACGAGAGGCGAGCGCAACAGTAGTGCTAGGGATCTTCCTGTGATTCAGCGCCACTGCTGCTCTATTTTTGGCAAGATACACAACGACGAGACGCCATCAAACTGCTGATTCAGTGCGATAGCACTTAAAAGCCTGTACAGAGGGTTTCACGAAGGAGGATAGCACCGTGTTGACTCAGTGGTCACTCGTACCCGTGGAACGCGGACAAGGCAACAATGCTCGCTTGCATACAGCAGCAGTAGAGACCTGGTGCGTGGAGGTGCATCCTGGACCCCGTGGACTACGTAGCGATTTCTAGGATGACGAATGCATGCCGCTTCATCTGAAATGCGCTGCGCTGTGCAGCTTATTTGATTAACAATTGGCGTTACGCAAGATAAATCGTAAACTCAATTGCCATCACCCCTTTCATACGACTAATCATGCCATGGGGCGAACGTACGCGGTTTGAGATGCATCCATCGGTTTCGAACAGGTACGTTCTAGCAGATAGAGGGGTGGGATGGCCCTAATTCATTGAGAGGTGCCTACTTGTGTAACTAAAGCTACGAACGTTTCTCCCCCGTCAGGTCCCGCAAATTGTGTCGTGCGGTCCCAAGGATCCACCTCAGGTTGTATCCATGAGATGTGGGCCACGTAGACGTGCCCACAATCTAACAATTGGAACACAGAAGGCGTGGTGGTTGATATTGAGGCACACTAGCCAGTTCCAGAGCTTGTCGCTCCCATGTGCGAATGGTATTGAGTGGGATGGTTCCCAGGATAAAGATGATGCTACCGTAACGATCAAGCTTATTCATCATCTTGCTTCTGCATTTTAAGCAGTAAAGACTATCAGCTTTGGTCTCGGCACGTGCAGTTGTCACGTTGCATCGTTCGGCCCATTGAAAAGTTGTGACAGATGCATGGCGTCATTTCTATGCAATATGTCGTCGACTTCCTCTTCCGCCCACCTACCACACGAACATCATGTGTCTTGATGATACGAAGATGGTCGTGCTGCGTGAGACATTATGGGCGACAGGCTGCCTCATTTCGGACTCAGAACCCCCAACAAATTATCTGTCAAGGATAGTAGAGCGCACAGAATGGTCAGTGTGAAGAATACTGCAGATGCAATGATGCGTAGCAACGAACGCACAAGGTTACACACGCCGGTTGTTCTTGTTCAACGATGATACCAACGAAAGCGGTACAAGAACTGATTTGCAAACGCAAGCAGCGAAAAATAGACGTTAAACCGACTGAAGCTTGCATTGTTACTGCAGAGAGATAGCAATGTTCGTCAGCCTTTTCCATCGAGGCGGTTTCATGCTCAAACAATACAAATTCGCGGCTATTTTTCGCGGTAGACGCAGATGCCTATTACACAGCACTTTTTTGCATAAATGGATACGCTGCGATGTGGAAGTGGAAATTTGCATTGGCCACATTCTGCCCTGCTTAAGCTGACACATAGTACAAGTAAGGATTATGTATACAATGTGTCAGCTTAAGCAGAGCAGAACGTGTCGAAACGTGCAGACGCCACGTACACGATAGGATTCGTATTGATATTACATGATTGTTAATGTCGTGCATCGGGCTCACTCCGTTCTAGAAGTTCCTTGATAGCCAAAAGGCTCTACACACTGCAAGCAATCGATCGAAGATGCATCGAGACAGCTTCACGCGTCGCCAAATCGGTGTTGTGCGTCTACGATGCATGTACATGACAAGAAAGTATCACTGCTTACACACTTTGGCATGCAAGTGCATACAAGTACTGTCATTGTCCATCAGCCAATCGAACGATATCGAATGAGTGCTCATGGTGACAACAGATGTCAACCAACAGTTGTGCAAGCTTCCATAAGTCAGTGTCGTCGCAACGTTCACGCTACGATCCGGCACATATTCTCGATAAACTCGGTAACAGCGCATGCGTTTGATCATATATTGCAAACAAACGACATGATGCATCGTACTACAGTGTTTCTTACGACAACGTGTGAGCTCGGTGGACAAAGGGAGTTTGAAACTCGCGGGGAATGTGACTAGTTGGAAGCTAATGTGGTAGCATACGCACGTTACTATTGAATCAACTGATCAGATATTGGACTGCAGTAACAAAGTGAGCATCACTACTTTACGGAGCCTAAAGCACCGGGAGCAAGACGAGAAATCATTTCCATGTGACTAGTTTTCTACTTCCAAAGGACGCTTTTCCTGCTACTTCTGGTTAGGTTTGACTCGCGCAAAAAGGCGTGATCCACGTCCCTTCCTTTTTTACATGCAGGTTGTGTTTCAGTGGAACTCGTAGTCAGGAAGTGCATTGGAGCATTTCTTGCAATTCCGATTCTTGATTGTAATTCGCAGATAACCAGAAGCTTGTTGATGTCGAGGTCAGTCGTTGATAAACAACAATGGAGGCTAAGATACAGCCGATAGGTTCTGGTGTCGTCTCGGCATTGAGTGGTACTGCCGCCGCTACCGTATGCAGAGTGCAATTGATTATGACAAGCGTGGGTAAAAAGTACGTAACATCTTGCTGCCACGCGCTAGTCAGTAGCTGCCTAGATCCAGAAGTCGGCTACCACTGTATCCGATTCCGTCAACTACAGACAGGATGGTTGCTAAGTGTCTTGTATCCCCAACCTATGTAGAGATGGACTGATCGGAGGAGATTGGAGAGGTGGAGGTTAAGCCAGAGCAGAAACTAGAGCTGAACGATTCGCTCAAATAAGTGCGTCTTTGAACTCCATGTTGACTTCGGGCCTCCTTAATCAACCCGAAGACGATAAGTGTCTTCATCCAGAGCAGATAGGAGACAAGATTTTGGAAGAGACGGAAGGGACGGATAAAGACGAAAATATTGTATGAATGGGATTGTGACACCCGTCGTACAAAAGTTCGTCTGCCCTACAACCTTCTACGTGATGCCTGCTTTCTGCTCAACGATTTTCAGGAAAGTCATCGGTCTGCGTGTATAATTCTCTACAACTCTTCACTCCGCATATTCGCTAGACATACAGCACCCATTTTACCTTTGACTGTGGTTCAAGTAGACTTCCTTCGACGAAATCTATTTTTTCATCAGCGATTGTATTTGATGCGCATCCCGTGATGCTAAAACAGGCCGATTATTATGAAAAATCACGAACTACAGGGGACATAAGATTGCACCGCAAGACGAATTACTACATGTATAAAATAATCAAAAAATATTACATTGCGCCACTGGTGTACGTGGTATGATTGAACACAGAAGCGGGAAATCATGTGGAAACATATCGACGTTTTGACTACATATGTAAAAGTCTTGTAGCAAGCATTTCCAGCGATTAGGAAGGTGCCTGGTCAGTCTTTTGTCTTTATTGATCACTGGGGTTCATATCGTGTGAGCCGTTGACACGCCCGGTACCTTTGCTACAGGATAGAGTAACTCTATGGTGCGAGCATCAGACGTTGATGTCTCGCATGTAGAGCGAGACTGTTGAGAATGTACAGCATATGCTGTTTCAATATATTGTATCTCATATTCGATGTGGAACAAGAGACCGAACTGCTACGCTTGTGTATTACTTCCTCCGCTGTCGATAACAATATTGCATCTATCTTTCCCGCAACCGTGCCGGAACATCCATACCAGCACCAACGTTACTACCACCAGTAGAAAAAACTGCTTTTTATGATGACCATGATATTCGATCAGCATATCATGTTTTTCAATGTGCAATTGCTCGTAAAGGTCCGCAATCATACGCGTGACCACCTGCAATAGCACCAACGTGATGTCGTCAAATTTTTACAATCTTATCTCGATTCATGTGCTTGTCTATCCGGTATCCTATGCCGCCTCGAGTCGTACCTTAAACGTGTTACGGAGCATTGCGTACGCGCCATTCGAACATGGCTCTGTCTCATATGATCCGACCACGACGTTTCGGCCGAGACGACAGGTACACATTAATACAATGTCAAACCACCGAAAGATGGATAAAATAGTTATATGCAACGTGATCTTATGTAAGAACGATAAATAATACAGTTAGGCTGTGCTTGAAGATTCGCCGTATTTTTTTCGACGTGCCATACGACTGTGCTCTACTTCGATG